GAGTAAATTGATCAAGACAAATGAGGGAAAAACAAAGACAGAATAAATAGACACAGAGAGACGGAGTAAAATTACGCAACCAATTAATTAAAGGCAACAGGTTCTGGAAGACAATGATTTCATTGTCAACTTCATGAACAGAGCAAAACAACAGCAGCAGCATCTGGAACGAAAGCCAAACTCAGGAGGAAAAAAAAACTTCAACCGTCAGCAGAAAAAGAAACAAATCCTAAAAACTCCAGTACATTTGTCCTGTGGACACACACACACACACACACAGAGGTGTGAAGGGCCGCAGCAGTTACAGCTTGTTTGTTATTTGTTCTCCTAAACAAGGAGGGAAGATCATTTCCCACAATGCATCAGTGAAAGTGGTCTGACCGATGTCACACAGTTGTGTGAGCTGCTGATTGGCTGCTGTTCCAGTGCTGGGTGAGGAGCCACTCCTCTGACCCTAAATTAACGCCCATTACTGACCGCCCTCAGCGTTCTACAGTCCAGACCTGAGTCCAGTCCAGACCTGAGTCCAGTCCAGACCTGAGTCCAGTCCAGACCTGAGTCCAGTCCAGACCTGGGTCCAGTTTAAACCATTACCATTTTATCCCTTGAGGGAGATTTATCTTAATGAAGATTCTGCCTCAGAACTATGTCATTTCCTCATCATTTGGTCGGCCATTTTGTTTGAGTGTACAATAATAACAATTAAAAACATTTTTCTTTTTAACCAATAAGATTCCAGGTATCGATGTCCAGATGAGTTAAGGACAAAGCTGAAGTGTTTAAAACCACCCAGTACATTTGGACGGACCGTCAGTGTGGTCCAGATGGTCAGACCTGAGGATTAAGATCGTTTCTCTGCCATGAGAAACAAACTGCATTTGACTGGCATTTCAGCTTCTTAGGACGAGCCGCTCCCATTAAACTCTGCTTAATCTTCTCGACTCAGGAGCCTGGAGATAAGACGATGTTTAGAGGATGAACATTTCAGACAGTGGAGGCATTTATTTACTTATCGCCTGGAAGCCAAACAAATGAGTCGGACGCAGGGCTTTTACAGAGCTGATAATCAATGAGGTCGTACTCCATGAGAGAGTGAGAAGAAACTGTTGTGGCAGCAAAGGAAAAACCCTCATCTGTCGTTTTGACCTGTAAGTCAAAGTCTTCACTGATGACCAGGGGTCAGTCCTGGATCAACTCTCTGACCATGGTCCTCTGGAGGAGAAAACAAGGTATCGGATCGACATCGGTACCACCAGATACTCCGAGGTGCGGTGTCGGTATCGGACGTGAAAACATTTTATCGAACCGTCCTTTATTTAGCAGGATGACACAGACTGTACATCCAATAAAACAGGTTCCACACAGGTTATTTATACAGACTGTGGGAAAACATTTTCATATCTCTGAGCTACCATCAAAACACCATTTTAATGTCCAACATGTTTGTGGTGGATCTGTATTTAAGATACAGTTTTATCTGATCTCAATTCATCAGATTAAACCCTTTTAATGTGACATTATGTAATATAAGCATTTAGCCACAGCTACAACTAAAACTTTTTCTTAGACTTCTTTTCTGCTACAAGCAAAACAACAAGATGGCGCGAGCCCAGATTTCCAGTGGTGCTGTGGAACTGAAACAGAAGTGGATACTGTTCCTGTAGCTCAGTAACTTCCTCTGGGCAGTGAGACCATGAATGACGGATCATCACAATAAACCAGGCAACATCAGGCCAGGGGTGAGCAGCGCTGGACTGTTTGACTGTGATAGAACAGAAGACGTGACCCAACGACACCGACCTGTAACCTGACCAAACCTCCAGAGTCCGAGAGCGTAACTCAAACGTAATTAAAACATGGAAAAACACAGTGTCTGCGCTAGAAGTTGTGACCCATATTTTAAGAGCAGGTCTGTCACCACATCACCAAAAAACAAAAAACAAAAACCAAAACCAAACAGCCTGAATCTGTGTCAGCTCTAGAAGCCGGCTGTGAAGCCGAGCCGACGTGTGGTGTTGTGTCTGCGGGGAGTTTGTCTGCTCTGACACCGGGGCACTCTGGCCTTTCACTCTGGGCCTCTCAGGGGTTTTGTCACCACAGCCTGGAGACAGAGCCGGCTAATTGACGAGCATCAGTCTCTGTTTTCTGTTGGCAGCCTCGCAGCTAACGCTTCCTTGATGTTGCCCGTGGACAGATGGCGTGTCGCCATGCTGAATGGCGGACGCAAACTCTTAACACAAGAGCCTGATCTCAGCCTTGGGCGCTGCACCCCCCCCACCTCGTCCCTGCCCCCACCCCCGGTCAGTCCCTGAGTCCACACTGATAATCCTTACAGAGGTTGGCAATATGCTGTATCTTAACAGACAGATGAGCGTGAACGAACGGCACATTTAGAACAACGAAAACACACAGACGTCTGGGTCTGGGTTAGAACAAGATAGATTAAAAAAAACAAAAAACAAAAAACAAAGTAGGAAAATGAAACTCTTCCATCAGCCCTGAGCAGGAGAATGACATAAACGCCTGCTTTCTTTGCAGCACAGAACGTAGATCCAGGTTGTTAGAACTCACAGTCAGAGAGACTTCACTGCAGGAACTCAGTTCTCTGTGGGAAACTTGATCATATTTACCCACCACTGCTCTGTGTGTTACAGCCGTCTGATTCAACTTCACATGTTTCAAAATTCAAATTTAATCTTTAGATTTGTTTTTCTGGGTTGATGGTTATTAATGTTTTCAAATGAATACGACTCTGGTCAATATTTTTGGAAAATCTTTTCTGTGTATTCACCTCGTGGATGCTGCTGCAGTATTCAAATGTATTCTGTCCAATATTTTAGTTTGTGAACATTCACACTGACTGTAACATTTCTGACTCAGTGGATCAGTGAATGAAGCGCTTCACAAAAAAAAACCTCCATTCACCTCTGGTACCATCGATGCTCACAAATAGTACCGTTTTTAATATCTCCTAAATATTAATCGTACTTTGTAGATACCCCCCCCCACCCCAGGGATCAATAAAGTAAACAGTATTTGTGATGGTCATGTCTAAAGGGTTAGGGTTAGACTCACATGTGTGGACTAAGTTCGTAGAAGTTTCTGTTGCGATACTCCTCCACCTTCTCTGGCGTGTAGATGGGCAGTGACCTGTAGGGGTTCATGGAGATCACCACACTGCCAATGTACGTCTGCGGGGGAGAGGAAGAAGGAAAACCTGTAAAAGTATGCTGAAGGTACATGGTACCAACAAGTACAAGTACTACGGTAAATACTCATAAATACCCCCCCAGAAATTGTAATAATTTCACCATTTTCAGGTCTGTAGAGTCATGTTCAGACAAGTCAGTGTTGTCCACCTTATACAGTGAAGCAGTGGAAAATAAACTGTTGGCCTGCAGGCCAAATTTGGCCCACCAAACGGCCCCATCTGGCCCTGAACTGGATTCCAAAATAAACTTCAAATAATAATTTTGTACAAAAAATTACATTTTTATTTCATTTTATTTGAGTGTCTGGACTCCAAGGTGCCTGTCCAGAATAATTTCCGTCCTCCGACAAATATAGTTGGTGACCCCTGCAGTATATACTGTACATTATATTCAACAATATTGACATAAAACCAAAAATCAGCTGTAATTAGCCGCCGTCTTCTGATCAGGTCGATATTTGAATCCAACATTTTTGCTCTGCTTCACTCCGTTTACATAACACTGGTTCAGATCCTGTGCAGAAAAAATAAAAAGTACTTGTGACTTGCAGTACTTTTTTTTTTTTAACACGAATGTAACCAGAAATCCTCTTTAACGTCCGCCCACGTTCCAAACAGCCCAGAGAGCAGTTTCCAACATCCACCTGAAACTGTCTCTTTCCTCTGCTTTCCACAGTAATGGCCGTTGCGTAACCCACTCTGCTGTGAGTGGAGTGTGGCCTTCCCCGTGGCAACGCCACAACCTCCCACGGCCTCTTGTTCAATTGCACACTGGAGGCAGAATGTGGCCTTTTCAAGTACAGGGGGTGAGTACAAGGGGTGAGTACAAGGGGTGAGTACAAGGGGTGAGCAATGTAAACAAAGCATTAAGTGTTAATGAGGGACGGTTCTGACCAGAAGAGGAACAAAAACCAGTGACTAACAACTGCAGATGGTGGAGGAAAATAAAACTGAATATTCTCACACACCATCAAACACTCTCAACTGGGGGGGGGGGTGTCAGGCCTTCAATTCAATTTGAGTTAAAAGGCGCTAGCATTCAACAGGCTAAGAGGAAACGTTAGCTGCACGTTTGTTGTTTAGTTCTTTGTAACTGGTTCTTGTTTTTATCCACACCAGATTTTAGGAGACTCTGGCGGCGGGAAGTTGTTGTTAGAGCCCCCTTGTGGAGGCCAAAGAATCTCATCTTATCCTCATTCTTTTTAAGAGAACGGTCTATGATGTGTGAAACAGCCTCATTCTTTTTAAGAGAACGGTCTATGTGTGAAACAGTGCCCCCTCTAAATGTTAGCTGGTGAATGAGTGTTGAAAACATGGTACTGCACTCTGTTGTCTGTGAGGAGGCCATGCTATGTTGACATGGCTTCACTACGCCACCCACTGGTCAAGGCAATTAATGAGAAACACTGGTCAACTGATGTAATGGCTTCACTACGCCACCCACTGGTCACACTGGTCAACTGCAACAGCGCCACAAAGAGGCGATGTGGGGAACGTGTGCGCCTCGGTGTTTAGTGTGTGAAGGAGGAAGAACGTGAACAGAACTGAAAAAGTCCATCCTAATATTCTCCTGTTTTTCAGTTCATGATTGTGGGAGGGGCCTCGGCTCCGTTTACCAGATACGATGTCACATGTAGCGCAGATTTATTGGACCGTGCAGCCTGCGGAGCTGGGTAATGGTAGAGTGTCACAGAACTCAAACCAGCAGCAATTGTCTGATGCAAATATTTAAACTGCAGTCAGACGCCCAGGCCTCTTGAGTCGGAGTTTGTTTTTTCCTGCCTCACTTGAAAGCATCATCATCTACATTCCTCCGTGTTGTAATTTATTGATCGAGCGGTCGCTGTGGCTTCTTCCACGGTCTGGACTCAGACGAGTGAAAACTGAATCTTCATCGTTACTCTGTGAGTCTGCAGCTCGGTGGCCAGGTCCAATCAATGAAACGTGGGACGACAATTACATGTGAGTGGGACGAAGGGGGACACGTGGTGGGACGAAGGGGGACACGTGGTGGGACGAAGGGGGACACGTGGTGGGAAGGTTGGATTAGTCCAGAGGAAAACATACAGAGAATTCAGTTGTATCTCCATCTATGTTCATTTTAACGACTATTCTAACGACTATCCTCAGCCCCTTTCCCCCACCTCGTCACCCCACGTGGCCGTTGTGTATACTGTATACCAGTGAACTTACGTAGATCTCATTGTGGTCAAAGCGGTTCTTCAGGTTGTCCAGGAACGAGTCTTCAGACAGGGGCTCCAGGAGGACCATGTCTCCCACCCCGATCATGTTGTCTAGAAGGGACGTCTTCACCTCCATCATGGCTGCAGGTGCCCCCCACTGTAGGAAACAAAAGGTAGAGAGAGAGAGAGAGAGAGAGATGAAACACAGTCTGGAAACAGAAGGAACTTCTGGAGATATTTTTTACTGTTTATCATCGTGTCGCTGTGTTCATCCCAACAAGATGAGAGAAAATGACTAAAGTGTGGGAACGCTTTAAAATTAAAATAGATACAGTACACACTGTTTAGTTGCAGCTATCAGCAGCTAATTGACAACATCACGTTATCAACATCCTCAATTCCCATTTCTTCTTTCTTTAGAAAGGTTTTAATCATAAATAAATTGTCCTAAACTTAGCTAATACAAACAAACTTTATGGGCGGACATGTTTATACAGCAGTGGTTTGACTCCCGGGTAGGAGCGGGGCCCTCTGATTGGCTGTTCAGTTCTTTCCACTGGCATGTGAGAACATCCCATTGGCAATTATGTAACTGAGGAACTTTGCTCTTAACCTCTGACTGTCTGCTCAGCTGGAATTGGCTCCGGTTTCAGGACTTCCTTATAAATCAAAGGAATGCCCC